TCTATGCCCTCTCACGTTAGGTGCAACTTTATGTGGTCTGACAGTATCCTCCGCTTTCTTCTGTCATGATGAAACAGAAGTATGGTGGAGGAGCTAGAAGCACAGGCCCTGGAGTCAAACTGCTTGGATTTAAGTTCTAGGTATGTCGTTCATCCCAGCTGTGTGACCTTGGGCAAGTCACTTAACCTCTCTGTGCCTCCATCTTGTCATCGGTGAGATGGAAATAATAATGATACCTACTAAGAGGATTCCAGTGAGGAGTGCCTGAAATGCCGCATAACTAGGGCAGAGTCTGGAATATAGTGAGCACTCAATAGATATTAGCTATTGTTATTTCTGCATGCATCATAATCCGATGTAAGCACAAATCCCCTGCTTTGTCTTTCTCTAAGCATCTTTGTCCTCTAAGCATCTTGAGGACATGGAATCTGTCTCATTTATCATAGAATCTCTGGGTGCCTAGCATAGAACCTGACACATGGTGCTCAATTCATAATGAACGAATGAAAGAATGAATGAATGTCTTGCCCCCTGGTTTATCTCAGATGATTTTATCTGATCCTGGGGCTCTTTTTGGACTCCCAAGATGCTTTCCCCTGCTCTGGCCTGGATAGACCAGAGCCCAAATCTTGTCTATGGTATTGTGATTTCAGATAGAAATAACGCGTCAGTACAAACCAGAAATAACCCCCAGGTAGTATAGAAGGAAAATCTCTCACAGTTTGTCCACTTAGCACCTCCACCTCCCTTTGTTCTAGTTTGTCACGACTAGGTGTGGGCAACACCCAAATACAGCAGGTCAATCACCTCTTCAACAAGGGTTTGCTGGGTCATGCCCTGTTGGGTATTGAGGATGCCAGAAGGGGAGGACATGACCCCTGCTTCCCAGGAGCTTCCTAGATGGCCAGATCTGGCTGGCCAGGCAAGGAGATGGGCAGTTCCATTGCAAGGTGCATTCAGCAGATGTCAGGATCTGACCTAGCCTCACTACTGGGAGCCAGGACATGAATGCAGGACCAGGGCATCTGGCTGCCAGGATTTGAAGCAAGTCCAAAGTTAGGGCAGGAGGTTAGCCACACTGAAAGGAGGCAGAATAGAGACCAGCAAAGGTCAGAATCCAGCAGTGTGGGAGCTATTGTCTGCTTGCTCTTCCTCCTCCTCCTCCTCCTCCTCCTCCTCCTCCTTCTTCTTCTTCCTTCTTCCTTCTTTCTTCTTCCTTCTCCTTCTCCTTCTCCTTCTTCTCTCCATGGAGAAGACTGAAGGCAGAGAGAAATCCACTGGGGGTTTCCTGCTCCAGAAAGTAAGGGCAAATAAAGCAGCAACAACAGCCACAAGCCAGTATTCGAAAGCCACTTTGGGTCTCTTCTCAAGACCTGCCTCAGGAAGGAAGTGACTGTGGGGCTGGACAGCTGTGTGGCCTTGCATAAGTCACTTCACCTCTTGGGACTCCATTTAGAAAAGGAAGGTTCAGGGGGAGGGCATCTGGCTGGCTCAGTTGGTAGAGCATGCAACTCTTGATCTAGGGTTGTAGGTTTGAGCCCCATATTGGATGTAGAGATTACTTAAAAATAAAATCTTGGGGCACCTCAGTGGCTCAGTTGGTTAAGTGTCAGACTTTGGTTCGGGTCATGATCTCGTGGTTTGTGGGTTCAAGCCCCACATCGGTCTCTGGGCTGGCAGTGTAGAGCTTGGGATTCTCTCTCTCTCTCTCTCTGCCTCTTCCTCTGCCCCTCTGCATGCTCTCTCTCTCTCTCTCTCTCTCTCAAAATAAATAAATAAACTTTTAAAAGAATCTTAAAAAATATCTTAAAAGGGGTGCCTGAGTGGCTCAGTTGGGCATCTGACTTAGGCTTAGGTCATGATCTGGTGGTTCTTGAGTTGAGCTCCATGTCAGGCTCTGTGCTAACAGCTCAGAGCCTGGAGCCTGCGTCACATTCTGTGTCTCCCTCTCTCTCTGCCCCTCCCCCTCTGGCACTCTGCTCTGTCTCTTAAAAATAAATAAACATTTAAAAAATCTTTTAAAAAATCTTTAGGGGCGCCTGGGTGGCGCAGTCGGTTAAGCGTCCGACTTCAGCCAGGTCACGATCTCGCGGTCCGTGAGTTCGAGCCCCGCGTCAGGCTCTGGGCTGATGGCTCAGAGCCTGGAGCCTGTTTCCGATTCTGTGTCTCCCTCTCTCTCTGCCTCTCCCCCGTTCATGCTCTGTCTCTCTCTGTCCCCAAAACAAATAAACGTTGAAAAAAAATTAAAAATAAAATAAAATAAAATAAAAAATCTTTAAAAAAGAAAGAAAGAGAAGAGGAGAAAAGAGAAGAAAAGAAGAGAAAAGGAAAGAAAAGAAAAGAAAAAAGAAAAGAAAAGAAAAGACAAGAAAAGAAAAGAAGAGAAGAGAAGAGAAAAGAAAAGAAAAGAAAAGAAAAGTTTGGGACAGTGCTAAGGGTTTCTCCAACCTTCAAATATGAAGACTTTTTTTTTTTTTTTTAAGTGAGAGAGAGAGAGCAAGTACAGGGGAGTGGCAGAGAGAGAGGGAGATAAAGAATCCTAAGCAGGCTCCAGGCTCTGAGCTGTCAGCACAGATCCCACTGTGGGGCTTGAACCCACAAACTGCAAGATCATGTCTTGAGCCATAGTCAGTCCCCTAACCAACTGAGTCACCCAGGCACCCCTAGGCTTCTTTTTCAAAGCAAACATGTCAAAGACTCCACAGGATGACAATGGTAATCTGGCACCTGTTGATCAAAAAAAAACGCAAAATGACAAAACCAACCACTTTTAAATCCTTTAAAGGAATTTGCATTTTGTTAATCACAGGAGCATCTACTGTCGCTTATAAAAACGTCCTGTGAGGATTACATCCTGTGAGGCTCAGAATCACAATCTCCATGAAAAACTCCTACCCAAATCCAACCAATAGCTTTTATCTTCCTTGGAACTCACAAAAATCAGTCTCTTATACCTCCAGCTTGAAAAATATAAGGGGCACCAGAGCACTGGGCCAGTGTTTTTCAAACTTTTACTTATTAGAAAGTCCACTGAGGCTGTTACTATGATGGAACGAAATCTGAAAGCAGAGTTGATCGATGGCATTTGTCACTTCTTGGCTGTCCAGCTTCAGAATCCCTTCCCAGGTGCATGGGAGACACCATCTTATGAGTCTTAGTGGAAGTTAAAGTCTACTGCTCACCTCTCACTATAGAGACTGAAATCATGACACTTGCTTCCCAGCCTCTTTCATTGGCAGGACTCGGACATGTGACCTGGGCTTGGCCAATCAGGAGCACCACCTGGATCCTGAATCAGAGATCACAGAGAGAACCCCTTAGAGAAGCTTCTCCAGTGGGGACAGCAGCAGCTGTGGCAGCCAGGTCCAGATTCCAGGGTAGTGGCAGCAGCCTGGTTATCTTTCAGGCCCCAGTCCTGGTTGTGGCACAAGCTTTCCAGGGTTCTGAGGCCAGGGCAGGGCTCTGGATAACTTCTGTGCCACAATTTTGGCCATGCTCTTAGCTACTTCCCAGCATCCTTTGTTCTCATTCATGCCCTGTGCCTGGCTCTCAGGCCTTCCCAGAGATTCCACGGGCTACCCAACATCCTTTCCATAAATTCCTCTTCAGCTTTACTCATCCAGAGCCAGTTCCTGTTGTGCTTCTAAATCAAAGCCCTGGCTGATTCACAGTCAGTCTCGGCATCCAACTTATTTTTCTATTTGGCTTTGGTCATCCAGTTCTGAGAAAATTCTGATCACATAAATGGGTGGTATCTCAGTTCATTTGGGCTGCTATAACAAAATACTGAAGAGTGGGAGGCTTATAAACAACAGAAATTTATTTCTCACGGTTCTGGAGACTGGAAGTCCAAGGTCACAGTGCCTGTGTGGTCGACTGAGGGCTTTCTTCTGAGTAGCAGACTTCTTATCAGATCTTCACATGACAGAAAGGACTAGAGAGCTCTGTGGGGCCTTTTTCATAAGGGTGCTAATTCTGATCATCAGGGCTCTGTCCTCATGACCTAGTCACCTCCTGAAGGCCCCCACCTCCTAATACTATCACCTTGGGGATTGGGATTTCAACATATGTATTTGGGGGCCGGGGGGACATAAACATCAAGGCCACAGCAGATGGTTATAAGTAATGATGATAGACACCATTACAATAGCACTCACTACATGTCAGGCCCTGTTCCAATCACTTTACATTAATTAACTCACTTAACAAACCTTTGAAGTAAATCTATCATTAACATTCCCCTGTTCTAGGTGGAAAAACTGAGGTACAGAGGAATGGAATAATTTGCTCAAAGTCAAGGGTTTAAATCAAGGCAGTCCTACGGTAGGGTCTGTGCTCTTAACTCCTGTTAATTTGTCTTTTGAGATTAGAATGGTCTTCAATTAAACCAATCTAGACACTAGAGAAATAAGTAATACAAATTTTTGTTTCAAAGTTGAGTGAGGGGGTGCCTGGGTGGCTTGGCCAGTTAAGCATCTGATTTTAGGTCAGGTCATGATCTCACGGCTCAAGGCTTCGAGCCCCCCATCGGGCTCTGTGCTGACAGCTCAGAACCTGGAGCCTGCTTTAGATTCTGTGTCTCCCTCTCTCTCTGCCCCACCCCGCTTGCTCTCTCTGTCTCCTTCAAAAATAAATAAACATTAAAAAAAAAAAAGTTGAGTGAGTAACTATCATAATATCCAACAACTGCTCTTTATCCTCATCATAAACATAGAAGTTGGGCAATAAACAAGTAAAACTTAGAGCAAGTACTGAACAAACAAGACACTTTTATCACTTCATAGTCACTAGGATAAGCCTGGTGGTTTATGGAGCCCAGTGCGCCCCATGCGGGAAGTACTCTGCCCTCCGTAAGGAGACATGCCCAGGCTGGCGCAGCACTGAGCCTCACAAGGCACACCCACTATCCGTACCAACCTGGGCTCAGAGCTGCCAGGAGGAGCTTGTGCCAAAGTCAGTACAAAACACAAAACTGAGTGTACAAAAAATACTATACTTACGGGAATATGTCACAGGGGCGTAAGTGTCAACCAAAAGCCCTCCCGGTGGTCAAAGCTAGGACAATTTGAGGAGCAAAATAAAGTAGCATTAGATTACAGCCCAACGTATAACGTAAATATCTGTGAATCCATACTTACATACATTGTTTTATTTATTTTTTTTATTTTTATTAAAAAAAATTTTTTTTTAACGTTTATTTATTTTTGAGACAGAGAGAGACAGCATGAACAGGGGAGGGCAGAGAGAGGGAGACACAGATTCCGAAACAGGCTCCAAGCTGTCAGCAGAGAGCCCGACGTGGGGCTCGAACTCACGGAGTGTGAGATCATGACCTGAGCTGAAGTCGGACGCTTAACCGACCGAGCCACCCAGACGCCCCTACATACATTGTTTTAAACAAGAAAACTTTACAGGGGGGAAATCTGGCAAACGCTACTTTAGCCAGGTGATCACCATCTGCATCAATAATCATAAACCATGTTGATAGCATGTATCTCTGTACACTACATATAATGTGATGGAAATGCCACTTTACATCTGTGATCTTCCTCCCCCACACCTACAACCCCAGTCTACATGTGAGAAGAGCATGGGACAAATCCCAATAGAAAAGTATCCTACAGGGGCGCCTGGGTGGCTCAGTTGGTTGTGCGTCCGGCTCAGGTCATGATCTCACAGTTTGTGCGTCCAAGCCCCGCATGGGGCTCTGTGCTGATGGCTCAGAGCCTGGAGCCTGCTTCGAATTCTGTGTCTCCCACTCTCTCTGCTCCTCCCTGACTCATGCTCTGTCTCTCTCTCTCCTCCAAAAATAAATTAAAAAAAAAAAAACATTAAAAAAAAACAAAAAAAAAGAAAAGTATCCTACAAAATACTCAACCTGTACTCGCAAGATCATCAAAAAGGAAAGTCTGAGAAAACGTCACAGCCGAGAGAAGCCCAGGAAGACATGTGACTTTAATTTAATGTGGAATCCTGCTTGGGATCTTGAAATAGAAAAAGGCCATTAGGTAAAAACTAAAGAAATTTGAAAAAACTACAGACTTTAGTTGATAGCAATGTCTCAGAATTGATTCACCAATTGTGTGTGACTCATGTACCACATTAATGTACGATGTTAATAATAGGAGAAAGTGAGTGCTGGGGAGGAGGAAGGTAATATGGGAATTCTGTATGATCTGCTCAATTTCTTTCTAAATCTAAAATTTGTCTCTAAAAATTTTTTTTAATTCATTTATTTTGAGAGAGACAGAGACAGTGTTTTGAGAGGAGAGGTGGGGGGCGGGGGGGCAGAGAATCTGGAGCAGGCTCTGGGCTGACAGCAGTGAGCCCAACTTGGGGCTTGAACTCATGAACCATGAGAACACGACCTAAGCCAAGGGCAGACACCAAACTGACTGAGCCACCCAGGGGCCCCTAAAATCTTTCTTAAAAATAAAGTCTATTTGGGGTGACTTGCTGGGTCGGTATAGCATGAGACTTTTGATCTCAGGTTCATGAGTTCAAGCCTCACGTTCAGCAGGGAGCCTACTTAAAGAAAATAATAATAAAAATAAAGTCTATTAATTAAAAGGAATAATAATATCAACTGCTCTCCCCTCAAAGTTAGTTCACTTGGCAGTGCAACTTAAACCACTGAGGTCTTGTGGGGCTAAAAGTGTTTATTTAATGCATTCACATTGTTACACCCTAAACATTTTTTAATAGAGTTTTTAAAATACTGAAATATTGTTTCAAATGAAATTCTAATCTTCACATTGCATCCTTGAATCGCCTCTGAGTAGCTGAGTACAGTCTGAGCTGCTCCGATGAAGGGAAAATCACAGATGATGTCCTTTGTCTCTATCCCTAGACCCCTCTGGATCTCTAAAATGGGGGGAGGGGGACTCCATAACCTCAAGGCAAAGCAGAACAAAATAGCTTCCCTTCCCCCATGCCACCCAAGACTGCAGCAACTGTCGGAAGCCAGGGCTACAGTTGTCCTGGTGCTGTGTTTGCCTGTCCAGCCCAGCGCTCCTCGGCGGTGGGAAGGGCAGAAGGCTGGTATGAAATGGGGCAACAGATGGCTGGGACACGTCCTCTTGAGGCTCAGCTGCCCTGGCCAGCCTGCCAAGCTGTGTACATTTCAAAAGTTTGAGGTTCAAGCAAAAGAGACGAGTAATGATTTTCAATCACTTGCTGAAACACATGGCTAATCCTTGGGTAGCCAGAGAAGAGCACTTTAAAAACACACTTAAATCCAGCGGGGGAAACAAGGAAACCCTGTGTGCCTTCTCGGCTTTGAACCCAGATCAGGCCTTCCTGGGGGCAGTCAGGCATTTGTCCAGGATCCCAGTGTGTATCCTGCTTTCTCTGCTTTTGGAAAGGGTGTGATGTTTTGGTCTGTGTGTTTATCTGGGGGTGAGGAGGGGCAAGGCTGTTGAGCAGGCAGGTTTGGATCCTGAGAAATTCTGCATCCTGACATTTGCGGGGGGGGGGCCCCCCCCGGCCTGGAATCGGGAGATCTCTAGTCAACCTGCTTTATAAGTTCATTCAGTGTTATTTCCCTGTCCTGGTTCAGGCCCTTGTTTCTTGCCTGGGTTAGGCCAAGGCTCCTATTGTCCTGGCTTCCCAGTCCTGTATCATTAGAATCTTCCACTGTGCAAGATCATGTCTGTTGTTACACAGCGTCTCCCATCTTGAACACACCTTCTCCTTGCCCCTACATCTCCCTCCGGCTACTGCTCCCATGTCTTCCCTTCCACAAAGCTTCTTGAACTAGTAGTCTGCTCTCCCTGGCTCTTGTCTTCCCTTGGTTCTGATGACGATGCTCTCTCCTGGTTTTCTCTCTATCTCTCTAGCCTCCTCGTCTCTGTTCCTTGGCAGGCTCTTCCTCCTTCACCTGGCTGCTCCATGTTGGGAGTACTTTAGGATTGGTCTTGAAACAGCTTCTGGTCTCTGTCTGAAACTCTCAAGATGATCTCATCCAGTCCCAGAGCTCTAAATACCACCTGAATACTGATGACTGTCGATTTTATATCTTCTTCCCTGAGCCCAGACTCATCCCTCCACTTGGCTGTCTAATAGACACGGGAGCCATCTTTTTCCAAGATGGAGCCCTTGATTCTCTTTATCCTCAGACCCTCCCCCTTTATCTTTCCTCTCATCCCTTTAGCATCGTTATCCATCTATGTGCTCAGGCCAAGAACCCGGGAGTCCTCTTTCATTCTGCCTTGACCCTCATCACCCATCTCCAGTCTGTCCCCGTGTTTGGTCAGTTCTACCTCCACCCAACCTTCCTCTCCATCTCCATGACCCACTCATGTGTTACCTGGATGACTGAAATAGACTCTCCGCTGGCCTCCCTGCTTTACAATGGTCTCTCCCCAGTTCACTCTCTACCAGCAGTGAGAATGAGCTTTTCAAAATACAATTTGATGGCTTTCAGCCATTCTCTTATTCAAGAAATGTTTATTAAGTGTCTAATATGTACCAGGCCATGAACAGATAGACAAAAGTCTCTGCCTCTGAGGAACTTACAGCCTCATGGCAGAAGATGGGCAGTAAACATAATTAAGCTAAATGATGCGATATGTTAGAAGGTGATAAATGGTAAGGGGACCTCCGGGAGCATATGTATGTGTGTTTGTAATGGGGGTTGTTATGACTTTATTTTATTTTTTAAGAGTGTTTTTTTAATGTTTATTTATTTTTTGAGAGAGAGAGAGAGAACAAGGGGAGGGGGGAACAGAGAGAGGGATTAGGGGTTCTAGCTCCAGGCTCCTAGCTGTCAGCACAGAGCCTGATGTAGGGCTCAAACCCATAAACCGTTAGGTCATGATCTGAGCCAGTTGGACGCTTAATTGACTGAGCCACCCAGGCACCCCAAAGAGTGTTTTTAAAAAATGTTTATTTTATTTTTTTTCAACATTTTTATTTATTTTTGGGACAGAGAGAGACAGAGCATGAACGGGGGAGGGGCAGAGAGAGAGGGAGACACAGAATCGGAAACAGGCTCCAGGCTCCGAGCCATCAGCCCAGAGCCTGACGCGGGGCTCGAACTCACGGACCGCGAGATCGTGACCTGGCTGAAGTCGGACGCTTAACCGACTGCGCCACCCAGGCGCCCCAAAAATGTTTATTATTTTTGAGAGAGAGAGGACAAGATGGGGGAGAGCAGAGAGAGAGGGAGACACAGGATCTGAAGCGAGCTCTGAGCTGACAGTAGAGTCCAACGTGGGGCTCGAACCCATGAACCGTGAGATCATGACCTGAGCCAAAGCTGGACGCTTAACCAGCTGAGCCACCCAGATGCCCTGGGGGTTGTTACGATTTTAAATAGCAAAGTCAGAAATGTTTAATCTCTGAGCATCATCTCCCACTACAGAGGTTCCTAAGAGAAATGTTTGATTCCAAGTCTGGGCTAGAAATGTATAAGATGCATCTGGAACATCTTGTTACACCAGAAAGCAAGGAAGGTAACACCGACTACCGGGGTGGCATCAAAAGGACTCAGAAGCCATGTCTGGGGCACTTGGCCGGCTCAGTCAGTAGAATGTGTGACTCTTGTCAGGTTGTAGGTTCGAGCCCTATGTTAGCTGTAGAGATTACTTGAAAATAATAAAATCTTAAAAAAAAAAAAAAAAAAAAAAAGGGGACTCAGAAGCCACGTTCAAGAAGTTCCCACTGACCAAGGAGGAGGAAGTTTGAGAATCAGAGAGAATAACGGTAGCATGGATCAAAAGATGTACACGTCAAAATCCCTGAATGTAACATGATACCTTTACAATTTTGCTTTTAATTTTATTTATTTATAATCTGTACACCCAACATGGGGCCCCAACTCACCACCCTGAGATCAGGACTTACACGCTTCTCTGCCTGAGCCAGCCAGGTGCCCCAATGATACTTCTGAAGGAAAGAATACAACTCATTGGTCACTTTTGGAGGATGCATTTTTGGAGCATCCTTTCCTGCCTAGATTACTCCAATAGTCTCCTACAGCCCTGGCTTCTCAGTCCTGTGTAATTAGAATCCCTGAGGTCATCTCTGTTCATTACACAGCATCTCCCGGCTTGAACATACCTTTCCTTGCCCCTCCATCTCTCTCCAGCTACTGCCTTATTTCTCCCCTGGGAGGATGTTTTATTCTGAAAACTGGCAAAGAAAAATAAAGAATGAAACACGTACCCTACCTTTCCTCCATGAAAGTGACCAGGTAAACCAAATAGTTGATGAGGGAAAACTTCCCTTTATAGACATATTCCAGCAAAGAAATGAAGAAGAAAAAAAAAGAGAGAGAGAGAGAGAGAGAGAGAATTAGAGCATCACAATTTTACAGCCTCTAGGGAAATAACCAATCCAGGCCACGATCACCAACAGCTGCTAACATCCCAAAAAGAGAGAGCAGGATCGTTCTATGCCTCCTCATGGATAGGCATAATATCTCTTACGAAGTAGGATTGAATTTCAAATGAATATCAGATAATGTTTAGTATATCTCAAATATCCCACGAGACATAATAAGAACTATTTATTATATATCTGAAATTCAAATTTAACTGGCATCCTATATTTTTATGTACCATACCTGGCAACCCAGAAGTTGTCTAGCCAAAAAAGTCAGACCTGAATCTGATTAAGTCTTAAAATCTAACTACCAGGAAATATGGGAGACAGGAGACTATGTTAAAAACGCCACCACCGTGGATTGCAGTGTCATCAGCAATGTGCAGACTGTGAGGACAGACCACTCAATTTTTTCAACAAAGAAAGAGACAAGGGGAAGGCAGGGGGGAAGCAGGGGAGGCTTATTTGGTTTCTGTTTCAAAAGGTCAAGGGTAGGTGCAGCCACTAGGAGAAATGGTCTGGCTTATGAAAGCCACATGACTCTCACTCCAGGGCTTCCTCTCTGGTCTCCTGCCTCCTGCCTTACACTTCACGGTCCTGCAGACACATCGAATTGAGGGTCCTTAGAAGCAATCTTGAGAGACACTTGAGATCAAGTCTTGTTTTACAAAGCCAGGTTGCAAGCAGAGGGGTATTGTGGGCAGGAGAGAAAAGGCTAAGAGCCTGCTTTCCGGGTGGGGCCAGATGAGAGCTGAGATGTGGCAACTGCAGAGACACTTGGAAAAGAGGGCAAGGAGCACCCTGCTGGCTCAGTCTGTAGAGCGTGCAACTCTTGATCCTTGGGGCTGTGAGATGCAGCCCCACGTTGGGCAGCCTAGAGGTTACTTAAAAAACAAACAAACAAACAACAACAAATAAATAAATAAATAAATACCCCCCTCACCCTTTGCAGAGGTGGTAGTCTTCTGATGTAACAAAATACGATTATTAGATGTATGATTGCCTCCTGAAACACCGACTTTAACCGTTGCTGTCTCAATACACCATAAAGGAATATTCTAGAGTTAGAAACAAGGGTCAGCTCACTGCGGCAGAAGTCATTTTCCCAGGCATGTGGAGACATTTCTCTCTGCAGTGGAAAGCCCAGCTTGCTTCCGGTTTTCATTTGCAGCTTCAACTCTGAGTGCCTGCCATGTGCAGGTCTTGTGATGTGTTATGGCAGCTGTGATGAGGCTCGAGTCACAATTCTGTGACAACCTTGGAAGAAGATCCCTGGTAGAGTCGGGCAGTCGAGAGTCTCACTCTGGGAGGGCACCTGGGTGGCTCAGCCGGTTACACGTCCGACTTCCCCTCAGGTCGTGGTCTCGCAGTTCGTGAGTTCAAACCCTGCATCAGGCTCTGTGCTGACAGCTGGGAGCCTGGAGCCTGCTTCGGATTCTGTGTTTCCCTCTTTCTCTGCCCCTCCCCTGCTCATACTCACTTTCTCTCTCTCTTTCAAAAATAAATAAACATTTAAAAAATTAAAGATTAAAAAAAAAAGAGTTTTACTCTGGGAAGCACTGGCTGTTTTTGTTTTTTTTGTTTTTTTTTTTAATTTTTTAACGTTTATTTATTTTTGAGACAGAGAGAGACAGAGCATGAAGGGGGGAGGGGCAGAGAGAGAAGGAGACACAGAATCGGAAACAGGCTCCAGGCTCTGAGCCATCAGCCCAGAGCCTGACGCGGGGCTCGAACTCACGGACCGCGAGATCGTGACCTGGCTGAAGTCGGACGCTTAACCGACTGCGCCACCCAGGCGCCCCAGCACTGACTGTTTTGAGAGACCTGAGCCCAGCACCATTTCTTTACCCAAGAGTAAGATAAAAAGACAGAAAGGAGATGATCCTGCTCCTTCACCTGCTCCCCTCTCTAGAGCAAAGGAAACACAATGTAGAAAAAGATAAGGAAAGGCTACTGAGGCTTGAACTGGGTTTGAGTTGAAGGGGGTCTCCCCAGGGGCACCTGGGTAGCTCAGTCAGTTAAGCGTCCGACTCTTGGTTTCAGCTCAGGTCATGATCTCACAGTTCTGGAGTTCGAGCCCTGCGTGGGGCTCTGTGCTGACCGTGTGGAGCCTGCCTGGGATTCTATCACCCTCTCTCTCTGTCCCCCCACCCCCCCGCTCTTGTACACATACACACTCTCTCTCTCAAAAATAAATAAACATTTTAAAAAATGTTTAAGTATCCCATTGGTGTTGCTATTAAAATATTTCAGGGTTTTTTTGAGGTTTTTGGAGGAAAAACAAAGACCTAAACTTTTTTTTTTTTTTTTTTTTTTTTGCAGCTTAAGCATACAACTTGTTCCCCAGACATGGCTCTGAAGGACTCTGGGTGGTCCAAAAACGCATCTCTTCCTTCAGAGATGGAGGTGTGTCACCACTGGAAAGAAGCCATAAGTTAGCCAAGCATGACTCAGTGAGGAGACCTGGAAAGGTTCGAGGCAATATCTCCATGGGTGGAGTGGTGGGATAGTGTGAGGTTGCCTCTAGGCTGGAGGCTCAGGGAGGGCAGAGGCCAACACACTGCAGGTGCACAATAAGGGTTTGTTGACTGGGGCGCCTGGGTGGCTCAGTCGGTTAAGCGTCCGACTTCGGCTCAGGTCACGATCTCGCGGTCCGTGAGTTCGAGCCCCGCGTCAGGCTCTGGGCTGATGGCTCAGAGCCTGGAGCCTGCTTCCGATTCTGTGTCTCCCTCTCTCTCTGCCCCTCCCCCGTTCATGCTCTGTCTCTCTCTGTCTCAAAAATAAATAAAAAACGTTAAAAAATTTTTTTAAAAATTAAAAAAAAGGGTTTGTTGACTGAATGAGTAAATGAGAAAGACCATCAATGCATACAAAAGTGTAAGTGGTGCAATGTGTGTTAAAAATTAGAAAAAAGAAGCCCACTTTTTTCATTTATGCAGGCTCACGTAGGATCTGAATATAGCCTTTCCAGCTCAAGGAAAGCTGAGCCACAGGAGTAAGAGGTATGAGAGCCAGCCCTGGATGCCATCAGCACTCTTAAGAACAGCACCAGAGTCCCAGGAGATTTGAAAAGCATTTTTTTTTTTTTATAAAATAGAAACAAATGCCAAAATTCTGCCCTTCCAATAAAGACTACAGACTTTTTTGTGCATGCCAATAAAGCCTCAAGCTTGGGAGACTGTATTATTAGTTTCCTTGGGCTTCTGTAACCAAGGACCACAAATTTGGTGGCTTAAAATAACAGAAATTATTGTCTCACGGTTCTGAAGGCTAGAAGTCCAAAATCAAGGTGTCAGCAACGCCACGTTCCCCCTGAAACCTGTGGAAGAATCCTTCCTCGCCCTGCTTGTGGTGGGTTGTTGGCACTCCCTGGCATCTCTTGGCATGTAGCTGCATCTCTCCAGTCTCAGCCTTCAATCTTCACATAGACTTCTCCCCATGTGTCTGCCTGCATGTGACCGTCTGCTTATGAGGACACTAGTCACATTGGATTAGGGGTTCTTCCTACTCCAGCATGACCTCATCTTAACTAATCATCTATTAGTTAATAGGTGTGCTGAGCTGTCAGCACAGAGCCCGACACGGGACTCGAACTCACGAACTGTGAGATCATGACCTTAGCTGAGGTCGGACGCTTAACCAACTGAGTCACCCAGGCGCCCCACGAAATGACCTATTTCTAAATAAGGGCAGATTCTGAGGGACTAGAGTTAAGATTTCAACATATTTTTTTTCAGGGGAACATAATCCAACTCATAACAGAGGCAGTTTTGGAGCATGTTACAATTAAAACAGGGTTCAGTGACCCAGTTGACCCAGAAAGTCAAATTGTTACCTGCTTGGTTACTACCTTCTGAAAGTTGATATAAACCATCAGGCTCCAGTTGGGCAAATTTCCCAATGTATCAAACCAATCCTGTCTGACCAAACCTTTCCAGCCTGCTGTTTTCTAGAACTTGAATCCAAGGGTCATGCTAACTGTGGGTAACTCCTTTCTGGGACACTCATTTCCTGCCTTTTCTTCCAGAACAGACACACAACAATCAAGAGGCATCACTAGGACAAAAAAGTTATTTACTCATCAATCTCTGGCCCTTCATGAGCTCCGAGGCTGGCAATCCATGGCTGCTAAATCAAGGCTCTTCATCCTATTTATATCATGGAACACAGTGGGAAAAAAAATAGTAGCGTTTGTAAAGTACTAGGGAAAAGGGACAGAGCTTCTCTAGCAACTGCAGGCCCTTTCCAGATTTCTGAATGCGAAGGACGTCGCCATCTCAGGCCACCAGACACCTACCTCTGGGCCCTGGGAGGAATGTGTAGGGCTAGACAATTGCACTCAGATGTCAATCTAGAGGAAGGACTACCAATCCCACTACCCCCTTCAGGGGTCTCCATTTGGTGACCCCAGACTTTTTCTTCCCATGCACATGCACACAACTCGCTTATAGAAAGGGAAACAATTAGCCTAAACTACCTCATCTCCACGAAGAACCACCACGGTTCTAATTCTTTAGCAGAGGACATTTTCAGTTTAGATTTAGAATAGATCTAAAGTGTCTCAGATCACAAGGCAGTCCAGCGAGTAGTCCGGGATGAGAGCTGGAAGCTGTGGAAGATGAAGGTCTCAGCAAAAGGACATGGCTGGCTTCAGAATGGGCTCTTGTCTGGCCTCTGTCTTGGATTACCTGAAGGGATTTAGCCAGCTTCCCTAGGTTGCGGTTTCCCGAAATGGCAACGTCTCCTCAAAGGCACAGATTCTTCTCAAGTACCGCCTCCTCCAGACAGCCCTCCTCGGTGATCTAGCCTGAATCTGGTGACCCTTCTTCGCTCTGACACCTACTTTCGCCATTGCGCCTATTGTACTATAGAGTAATTTATTGTCGTTCTTAGCAGGCTGCAAGCTCCTGGCTCTTAGTT